GTTGAACTGACACTGAAAAGAGCCAGATTCACCTTCAGTCACAGAAGGTCAGTTGTGCCACTCACTTTCTCTCAGCCCAACTTACTTTGCACAATTGTTATGGGAAGAATAGCAATAGCACTTAGACTTATATAGTGCTTTTACAGCCCTCTCTAAGAGGTTTACAGAATCAGCTGCAAATTATAAACCCTGTTTCAAAGAGCCTTGGTGGCTCAGCGGACTAAAGTGCTGTTAAATAGCACTTAGATGCCAGCTGCCTGCAATTACTGCGAGTTCAAATCTCACCAGGCTCAAGGTTGACTCAGCCTTCCATCCTTCCGAGGTAGGTAAAATGAGGACCCAGATTGTGGGGGCAATAAACTGACTTTGTATAAATAAATTTAAAAAAAAAAGAACACCGCTTAGGAGGGGCCAAAAGCCCTACTAAGCAGGTATATACAAAAGTATGAAGGCTATTGCTTAATGCATTGTAAGCCGCCCTGAGTCTCCGGAGAAGGGCGGCATATAAATCGAACCAATAAATTAATAAATAAATATTGCCCCCAACAACCTGGGTCCTCATTTTACCCACCTCGGAAGGATGGAAGGCTGAGTCAACCTTGAGCTGGGGAGATTTGAACTGCTGAACTGCAGCTAGCAGTCAGCTGAAGTAGCCTGCAGTACTGCACTCTAACCACTGCGCCGCCTCGGCTCTAAGAAATTGGAGAAGGAGCACTATATATGCCATCTTGAGTTCATCAGTGAAAAGTCAGAATCAGTTTAATGCTGTGTTGTAACACCCATAGGAAGAAGGATAGATAGGAATATTCATCTTCCTATACGGCTGACCTGGCTTAATAGGAGTTTTACTCTAAGTCAGGGGTCTGCAACCTTAAACACTCGGAGAGCCATTTGGACCCATTTCCCACAGAAAAAAAACCCACCACAAAACCCTTCCCTTGCCTGACTATTTCTTGAGCAGCCACAAAACTAGCATATGCAGTTGAATTAAACCAGTGGTGGGTTCCTCCCGGTTTGGTCCGGTTCGGCCGAGCCGGTAGTGGTGACAATATGACATCACCGAACCGGTTCTCCCACCCCCCCCACATTATTCTTACCTTCTATTTGGTCCCACCCTCAATCTATTGCTGCCTTCTGAGTCCCAGCTGATGACTAGAGGGAAAAAAACTGTTTAAACTCTTGCCGCGGGGCGTCAAAGGGCTGTCCTACAACTGATTAGTGTTAAAAGCAAACAAATGAGTCGGGTCGTAAGTGCGAGGATCTTCCAGAAATGACTCTGACCAGCTAGCCATGCCCACCTAGTCACATGACCTCCAATCCACACCCACAAAATAAGCCACGCCCTCAGAACCAGTAGTAAAAAAAATTAGAACCCACCCCTGAATTAAACATTCTGTTTTCTTCTGAAACTTTTCTTTTCTTGGATTTATTCATGGTTGGCCTACTGGGGTTTGAAAAGCTCAATAAATCACGTGCCGGCAGGTTTCGCACATTGGCGGTTGTGACACATATTTTGAGTGACAGGGAGCCGCAGCAGAGGGGTGAAAGAGCCACATGCGGCTCCAGAGCCACAGGTTGCTGACTCCTGCTCTAGGTCTTGTGAACTAGGTCTTGAGGGAAAAGGTGCTTGTAATGCAAAAATTCAGAAGAAATATGTGTTTGATTCATACAATCAATAGCCTTTGCTTAGAAAAATATGTAGTGCTCCCTATCTCTTTAACGCTGATTGTCCCAAAGTCCCAAAATTAAATGTGAATCGTCTTGATTTACAAGGCTTAAGTAATTAAATGTGGAGAGAAGTTTTCCTGAAACCAGCTGTTATTTTGTGTTCCCAGAATCTGCCTGTCTACATATTATACTCCAAGACAGAAGTGCTGATAAGAGCCAATGTTTTTTTTTTTTTTTTGCAATGATTTAGAAAATTATTTGAGGTTAAACTACAGAATCCATGCTGCACTTGGGCAGATGAAGCATAACAACATTTGGTCAACAACAGCAAAATAGGAAAAGATCCTAAACATTGTTTCCACACATGTAATAAGAGTGATCTTGACAATACAAACAGAGTTACTATAATATCAACAGGGCTACTGAACCAGTGTAAAGGCAAAAACCGGGAATGCTTTAAATCATCCTCTTTAATATTATCATGGATTTAGTGCATTCAGTGTTTGATCATTTAAGAGGCTTCTGTTGATACTTAACTATATTTAGTGTACAGAAGAGAGCCGAATTTAAAATGATTTCCCTCTAAGAAGGGGAAGTAGATAGGAAAAAAAATAAGGATAAAGAGGAATCCTGTGCAATGATCAAGCATCCCATCTTGTCAACTTGGACTTTGAAACTCCATCTGAAACTAGGGCTCCTGTTACTAAATATATATGTGAAACACACTCATACATCCAAGTATATAGAGATGCTAACAGATCCAAAAAGAGGGCAGGGCAACATCAAACTATTAATATTCATAATAATTAATTTAAATTCTCTCTAAAAAAAAATAAGAAAGCCCATTTACAGAAAGCTGCCCGGGGCTATTGAACCAGGGAGCTTTAATAAATTTATATAAATAAATAATGAAGCCATTTCCTCCCATCTGCTTACTGTATGTTTGAATTCTCTCACACACATATAGATTTTTTTTTCCTCACACTGAAACTCACAAGCACAGACACAGACACACATTCCCAATCTCATTATCCTACAGAAGCTGCAAATTATAAACCCTGTTTCGGAGTTTTAAAAAGAGTAAATATTCGCTGGACAAGTAATAGGGAAGAGACTTCCCAATGAGATTTCTGCGGCCATTTTCACCTCCTGAATATTAAATGTCTTCTCACCATATCTTATAATTAGAATTTATAAAACAACTCCTACCGACTCACCAGAGTTTATTTAGAGAGGGGAAAAGCCTAAGGATGAAAGATAATATTATTTACAATATGATGGTATTCATGATGCATATTTATTCGGGACAAGGGAAAGGATGTTCTTGGTAGCCACACCCAAATCATGAAATAAGTTGTCCTCTTTCACTCTTGCTTAATTGTTTAATGAAAAAATGTTCCATCCAGCTTTTATCTGATCAAACAGATGATGTATGATGTGTTGGGCCTTAGCGCTGTGCTTTGATTGTGTTTTGTATATTATTTTGTATTGCTGTTTTATTAGGTGGCTGATATTTTGCATCACACATTACAGTTTTATTATCTGTTTCTAGTATTTTTGAAGGATGTAAGCCATTTGAGTGGAATATAAATCCTCTGTAGAGAAACATATGCAGTGACTGTACAATAAGGCATTGGTGTCGTGCATACCATTCACCTTTGAAGCAAACTTGGCTTGTCATAAGAAAAAGTACTTTTTTAGACTTTAATGTTGTGAAAATATGCCGTAATGCCTTTTAAAGTAAATGGAGGAGCTACAGCTTACCCCTAAGCAAGGAAAATACAGATATAACTGCTTAGTCAACAGCTAAGCAACAGCTAAGCAACCCCTAAGCAAGGAAAATACAGATATAACTGCTTAGTCAACAGGCAGTTAACGTTTCTCATCTCAAAAGCTAGGCAAGATAAGGCATGATTGATACTTAGATGGAAGACAGTGTGGGAATCAAGAACTATGGAGCTGAAAGAGATTGTAGAAATCAGTACAACCCCTATTCAGTTTTATTTATTTAGAAATTTATATGGCTGTCCTTAAATAAGTAATTGATGGCTAATAACCAATACAAAATAAAAAAAACAATATATAAACAAAAAAATACTATTCCAAAACATCATTATACCATGACCAAGAGTCTGTTCAACTAACTTACAACACAAGAACATACATATTGAATTCCTCTAACATCCTTGTATGGCCAAAATCATAGATGAATGGAACTAATTAAACCAAGTTGATATACAGAGATATAAGGCCAAAGTTTGTTACCTTATTAGTACAATTCTACTGATTTGCAATGGGAAATTATTCTTTCTCTCAACACCTAGTGTTCACAAGCTGCCCCCTCCTCTTGATTCATGTGAGATGTTTTCATGTTTTATTGTTTTATTTCTCCCTTTTGATTTCTAAAGGAAACAGATGCAGGAAGTAACCTGAGCTCCATTACCTATAGTAACTTGAGATCCTTTACCTATGAATATATATGTTTACATCCTCTGTTACTTATGCATTAGAGATAGTCCTCAACTTACGACCACATTTGAGCCCAGAATTTATATTGCTAAGTGAGAAGTTTGTTAAGTGAGCTTTGTCCCATTTTATGACTTTTCTGGCCAGGTTTGTGAATCACTGCAGTTATTAAATTAGTAACACGGTTGTTAAGTGAATCTGGTTTCCCCATTGACTTTGCTTCTCAGAAGGTTGCAAAAGGTGATCACATGTCCCTGGGACACTGCGACCATCATAAATATGAATCAGTGGTCAAGCATCCAAATGTAAATCCCATGACCATGGGGATGCTTCAGCAGTCATAAGTGTGAAAAATGGTCATAAGTCACTTTTTTCAGTGCCGTTGTAACTTTGAACTAAATGAACTGTTGTAAGTTGAGGACTACCTGTAGTCTCTCCTGCCTTTCTGAGCCATATACATATCTTCGTTGAGGGAAGTGTCAATATTCTTTAGGGGGAATTAGAAGAGACTGGACAGTCACTTCCCTGAAATGGTATAGGATCTCCTGCTTGAGCAGGAGGCTGGACTAGAAGACCTCCAAGGTCCCTTCCAGCTCTGTTCTGATTCTAAAGAGTTCCATCAACAGTTTAAGAAACACTGTAGTAAGCCTTGATTATTTGCTTTGGGCCCTGGGTTTCATTTCACATTGGTCCTAATACTGGATGAAAAGACAGACCTTCACAAGCTTCTTACCATATTTCATGGACATATCCTTACTTCATTGATTTGTATGAAGCCAATTTTTTTCCTTTGGAAAAATATAGCAAATGTAAGATGCCATGTGATTTCTTTGTGGTACTGACTACTTTTCTCCTTTCTTTTGCAGATTTTGGCCATTATTTCCATCATGTTCATTGTGCTCTCTACAATTGCCTTGTCTCTAAACACTCTTCCTGAGCTTCAGGACAACGATGAGTATGGAAATCCTACAGATAACCCACAGCTAGCCCACGTAGAGGCAGTGTGCATCGCCTGGTTTACAATGGAATATCTCTTGCGTTTCCTCTCTTCTCCAAAAAAATGGAAATTTTTCAAAGGACCCCTGAATGCCATTGACTTGTTAGCAATCTTGCCCTATTACGTCACCATCTTCCTCACGGAATCCAACAAAAGTGTACTTCAGTTCCAAAATGTCCGGAGGGTGGTCCAGATATTTCGTATCATGAGGATACTCCGTATTCTAAAGCTGGCCAGGCATTCAACTGGCTTGCAATCTCTGGGATTTACATTGAGGAGAAGCTACAACGAACTTGGATTACTTATTTTGTTTTTGGCCATGGGCATTATGATCTTTTCAAGCTTAGTGTTTTTTGCAGAAAAAGATGAGGAAGATACAAAATTCAAGAGCATCCCAGCATCCTTCTGGTGGGCCACAATAACTATGACAACTGTTGGTTATGGAGACATCTACCCTAAGACCCTTTTAGGTAAGATTGTTGGTGGGTTATGCTGTATTGCTGGAGTCTTAGTGATTGCCCTTCCAATCCCAATCATTGTAAATAACTTTTCAGAGTTCTACAAAGAACAGAAGAGGCAGGAAAAAGCCGTTAAGCGTAGGGAAGCCCTTGAAAGAGCCAAAAGGAACGGAAGCATTGTGTCCATGAATATGAAGGATGCTTTTCCACGTAGTATAGAATTGATGGACATCATCGTTGAAAAGAAGGGAGAAAATGCAGGCAAAAAGGATAAAGTTCAGGACAATCATTTATCCCCAAGCAAATGGAAATGGGCCAAAAGATCAATCTCTGAAACTAGCTCCAATAAATCTTTGGAGACAAAGGAACAAGGATCACCTGAAAAAGCTAGGTCTTCCTCTAGTCCTCAGCATCTGAACGTTCAGCAACTGGAAGATATGTACAACAAAATGAGTAAAGCCCAGTCACAGCCAAACCTCAATTTAAAGGAGACAGCTCAACCCAGTAAGCAAAAAGAAGAACTAGAAATGGAGGCCATTCCTGGCCCAATGGTCCCTTTGTTAACTACTCGGGCAGATGGAATAATTGACATGAGAAGCATGTCGAGCATTGACAGTTACATAAGCTGCATGACTGAATTTCCCGAAGCTGGCAGATATTCTCATAGCCCACTGACTACACTGACCAGCAAAGGTGGAAAACTTCCCCTTCAGGACCCATATAGACTGGAAGGAAGTGGGTCCAAACTCATGGAAATAAAACCAAATCTGGAAAGTGGCCATTGCTCTACCTTTTTTATAGAGAGCCCCAAAAGTTCAATAAAACTCATTAATCCTCTAAAACTGAGATCTCTAAAGGTTAATTTTATGGAAGAGGATGCTGTAGGGTCAGCAGCTTCAAATGTCCTAAGAATATACCCAGATACCATCAAGAACAGGGGAGCTACAGGTGCTGCCACAGATAGTTCTGGATATTCTGATCGGTCTCTGATGAGTCCAGAAACTTCTGTCTATACGACTGCAAGTGCTAGAACCCCTACAAAGTCTCCTGAGAAGCAGGCACCAATTGTTCTTAACTTTCACGATGCTGGCATTCATAAATTTATCGATGCTGACACAGATGATGAAGGTCAGTTGCTCTATGACTCAAGTCCTCCGAAAGCCTCTTCAGGACATACTAGCCCCAAATACAGCATTTCTCAGAGAGGCTATATAAGGCAACGAGATAATGTTTGTAAAACAGAGAAGGACCGCTTAGCAACTGCTGCTTTGTCCTCTACACCCAAGCTTTTAGGGCAAAACTGCCTTTATTCCATGGAAAATATCACTGGAAGAATCCATGGTAACAAGGAAACTATCAAATTAGATAATCATATTTCACCTGAAGTTCACATATTACCAGGTGGTGGTGGTGGAGGAGGAGGACATAGTAACAAACATGATCATAATATCTGATCATTGCTGCAGAATGTAGGTTAACAACTGACAGGAATGCCTTTGCACTCGACACACCAAGAAAAGATTCTGCATGGCATGAACTTTTGACTGAACAAGCCACCTGTTTTGTAAAAATCAGAAGGATGTCTTGAAATGGGATTAAGGATAATACCTCCTCTAAATCTACTCCAAATTCCAACTCCAACCACACGACAGTCATTAAGTAAAATGAAGTTTGTGCACATCTTGATCATAAATTGATCTCCTTTCAACTTCCTTTACAGAAGTCAGTGTGACCAATTCTTCCATTCATTCACTTCTTTAACATAGACCTCTTTTATGGCAATACCAGTATCTGAATTGCATTGTCATCTTAAAGTGATTTAGACATCTATAGTCAAATACTGGAACAAATGATAGATGTGATCAGAAACGCAACACTTTATGCTTAAAGGTAACTATTCCAAACATCCCCATCCATGCCTTTTTCTCTGATGAATACAAGGTCTGAAGACGTACAGGGCTCGGGTAGGCTTATTGAATCACAAATGCAGTGAATTGAGAAATAAACTTTTAAACATTTCTCTCTGTATTTCTAGATGCATTAAAATCTATTTTTTTATTTTAAAAAAATCAGCAGGGTGAGTTGCACCACTTGTACCAAATCCAAAATATCCCTTCAAAGTTATATGTAAAAAAAAAAAAACTGACTCTGCTAAAAAGTCATACAAAATCCGAGATCAGGGATGTAGTTTTTAACTTGGGATTAGGAAGATAGTTTTCAAACTTAAATATGGTAAGATGTTTAAAGAAGAGATTTTCATACTTTTTTATGAATGGATGTTTTTATGTATTCTTGAAAATAAATAAATCAGGTGGATCTAATCTTTTGTGTGTTGGAGAAAGGTATCCCTTGGAAGGGATCACCCAAACCTCAACAGTTGGGAAACTAAGGAACAGTGGCAAAACAACAACAAAGCCAGAAATGGCAGCCTGAACCAAGAATCCATATTAGATTTGAGAACAATTCCAGCACAAAAGAAATTAAATAATATTGGAAAGATATTCCATTTCTTCTCCCTGAATTATTTGCACATCATTGAGAGGGGAGAGGAAGTGAGTTACACCCAACCTGTTCACTAAGCAACAAGTTTATTTCTACCACATTTTGCACTTAAATAATGTAGAATGCAAAAATATGCAAGTTATAAATACATAAATATGCAAAAAAAAGTTATTTCCAAGGAATGATCCTCCTGCCATCTGGAGTGATATACATCAAGATAGGAATTTCTGGAATTTAACAGTAGGAAGGAGGGTATAAATATCAAGAGAATAAAGGCCATGAACTTAACACATTTCCATTTTATTTTGAAACAGGTCGTTTCTGACAAAAACACAAACAGCTACACCAGCTTGGATTTATAATTCCTACTATTTCCTTTCATTTTGCTGGTATTACAAAGCACTTTATGTTAATGTTGTGACAAAGGTGGAATCAAGAAGAACAGAGAATGTATTTTTAAAACACTAGCACTTTAAAAACAAACTCTCTCCTTATTTGTGCCTCGTCACATCTGTGATTTGTTACCCACCTGGTAACAAGCTGCACCATAACTGTGATGATAACACATAATGTTTGTCCTTTGTTACTGTAATATAGTGTAACATTAAGATACATGCACACCTATAAAACCTTTGGAAAGCTTGACTTCTTTTTGTAGAATAGTGTACTCAGATGCAGGGGACAAGGTGATGGGGGGGTCTAGCCAGTCTAAAGGGTAGGCGCCTTAATTCACGGCCCTTCAACATTGACCAAGGAGCACATATGAAAGAGTAACTCAAAGTCAATGGGACCTGAAGCTCAAAACAGCCTAATTCAAAAAAAAAACAGTAAAGCATCTTTTCCTTTTTCTATTTCATTCCCTGAGAAAAGGCTTACAAAGATGCATTCAACTTGATTGCCCGTGTCAGTAGATAGAAAACCTTTTTAACATAAGCTATTTATTAAAAAGGAAGGTAGGAAGGCAGGCCCTGGGAGGGGGGAGATTTTGTACCAGATTTTCACAGTTTGGGGACATTATAAGTAGATTGCACTGCACTTATCTATCATGAGTAATTACATTGCACATAACAGGACTTGGCAAACTGAAATGGATCTCTGTAAATAATGCACTGCATCCATGAAAACAACTACCCATCACTTGTCAGATCAGTATTTTTTCTGGTGTCAAATAGCTGTTGGTCTTGAATGTAATTCTTGTCAATTCGAGCTGTACTGACTGTCCTTCCACTTCTAATGCACACACCATGCACAGAACAAAAGCAATAAGCACATGTTTATCTTAAAAACTGTTATGGGTTGTAACAATCCTTTTGCACATGATTCTGCATAAGTGTGGATATTTCTCACATTTGCTCAATTATCTAGTTACCTAGGAAGCCCTTCCAATATTACTGTATCTATTCATTCAAATTGCCAGTAAAGTGAACTGAACAATTTCAGCCAGTAAAATGTTCATTCCATGCAAACAAACTAAACCAAAGGGACATATGCTTACAAAAAAAATTACCAAGAAAACAGCATTCTGGAAAGGTACAGATAGTTATCAGCTATCTATAGGGTGAATTTAAGATACTATAACTAATATAAAAATAAGTGGGAGCCCTGAATTGTCACTAAAAATAATAATGCACCAAATAAATTTTGCACACAATATTGCAGAGATGGTCTTTAATGCAACTGCTAAGTTCCAGTAACTCACTGGGTTTACTGGTTGACAATGTGTTTCAGACTCAGCACTCAATGTTATTATTGTAAGGGCAAAAAGGAATTACTTTGGCAACAGTAACATGAAACTGAGGGATACTTTAAACTTCATTAACATTTAGATTAATAATTTGCCAAATTGGGTAGCTTGATGCAGAAAATGAGTCTAATGCATGCTGGCTGGAGAATTCTGGGAGTTGAAGTCCACAGGTCTGAAAGTTGCTGGGATTGAGAGATGTTAATCTAGATGTAAGATAACCTCAATTGTAGCCTGCTGATCTGTTAGGATACATCTCCACTGGCCACTATCTGAAAATTGTGGGCCTTATGATCCCTACATACCTGAAACGCATCAGGCTGGGGAAGGCTGACATATTCTGAAATAAAACAGGCAAAGAACACCAATCATAAAGCCTCTGCTTTAAAGAGGAAATAGGCAGTCAATAAGATTAAAATAAACTCAGATATATTCATACATATATGATTTCATGTAAGATATATTATTAGATAACCTTCTCCAACCATTTGCCTCCAGGTGTTGAAGCTGCAACATCCAAGATTTCTAGCTAGCATGGTTTGGCAGATTATACAAAATTGCTCTACAGAAGCATGATATGTGGAGCTTTTTGGTCTCTATTATTAAATATCAAAAATGTTAATATTCCTCTTCATTATTTGTTCCTTAGTTATCTCCTTTTTGTACCTTGCAATTCCAAGCTTGTCTTTTTTTGCATTTATGCTTAAGTTCTACACCAACTAGAATAAAAAGAAGCAAGCTAGTCATGTATACCCCAAGTCCCCCTACTAGTTTACGTTACAGGTTTTGTGTCATGTCCATCATCAGCACAAATGGTACATAAAAATAAACAAATAAATTTTGTTGATAAAAAATCAGGGAAAATATTTTTATTTCAAAGAAAGACTCAATAGAAAGCTCTGTGTGATATATTTTAAAACAGATTCTTTGTGTAGAAACCTTTCAAAGAAATTAACATTTTTCATATCAAGAAAGCAAGCGCATGTAAAAATAACCATTTAGAGAAATTATCTAGCAATCTCAGTTCAAAAATATACATTTGAAGCATGGAGGACAATCAATAACCGTATTTAAAAACAAATCTTAAAAAAAAATCAACTGGTGCAACTCTCCTTGTACCCAACTCCCACCCCCCCTCTTTTTTGCCTTGCATTGGCAATTGAGAAACAAATCTTTCATATATTTAGCCATGTATTGGGTCACTTTTGACAGATGTTTCAAAAGTATCGTAAAATGTGTATCTTTGAGTGTGAATTGACAAAGTCCAATGGATTTCGGATAGGGGTTAATTAAAACTGCATTTCCTTTGTGTTTATGAAAGGGTAATCTATTCTTGTTTTGTCGCCAATGATGACGTGTATGTCCAAGGCAAGCCCCACTGACATGACTGGGAATGGCACAAATCACAGTGGTGCTCTTGCACATATCCGCCATTCATTTCTGTGCAGCTTGCGCTGGAAACTCAGTGAATTATGCTCCTGTGTCTAACTGAAAGTTAAACTGTATATATAGAACACGAGCAGACATGTAAACACTGGGAAATGTGTTCTGCATTGAAATGCATTTGAAATCCAAAGTGGAATTACAGAGTCTGTGTTCAATTGAACTGAAGTCTGTATTTGGTTCAGGACTTTGAAAAACCATAGCACAACTTTACGTAAGATTTTAAATGATAGCTCGTAGTCAACTCTATTGCTAATCCCACCCAGGATGATTTCCATTGGCAGGAAGAGAGAAGAAGTAAAACCAAAACAAAAAACAAATGTGGTAGAACTCTTTTCAAGCTTAGAGTTTTTTAAAAATATATAAGCAGAAGCCTCCTATAGCATACTACTTGCAAATTGTAGGATCTCAAACTATTGTTAGGATGGGAGCTTTTACTTAGAATTGGGATGGTCCCAAATTCAAATACCCAACTTTGCAATCTTCTAATCATTCGGTATCATGAGGCCAATCACTTTCTCCCAAACGAATTTGCCTAGCATGATTGTTGTCAGAATAACATGAAGGAAAATAATGTATACCAGCTTGAAAAAGGTGAAACATAAGTCTAAGATTCTGATTTAACTCCCCCCATGTTATTGTTATAGGATTATATGTAGATGACTATTCAAATGGAATGATTGGAAACACTCTAGGATTCTTGGCCAACAGCTCTCTGGTGCACCTTCTCAATGGCTTCCTGGTGGATTCACCTCAGCAAAGTATGGCTGAACATAGCTGCCATTTACAGTTTTCATTCTGCCTTGATAAAGTGTCATTCTTGGGAATTCTTATAAACTAAGGTGGCATCCCTTTCTAAGCTACATTTTTTAAAAATTTCTCAGAGTGCCTGAGAGTGGTATCATTGTGGGAAAACTAAAATGGCAGCTAAATTCAGCCTCTTTGACTATTTGAGGTGGGGATTAAAACTGAGTACAAAACAGGCATGACTGATAGAATGCTTGAGGTTCCAGGAACTGCTGGAAGTTCATGACAGCCCTGGAAATTATGCAACCAACAAGACATATGCCTTTGGAACTTCGCATCTCTTCGCAATGAAGGTGAAGAGATGAGCAAGAAAAAGAAAATCCAGTTTAAGGGCTGGGAAGAGTGGTGCAAAAGTGGAATACATTTTCATGTATCATGTATCATGGGTATGACAATTGGTATGGCAAGAGGTTGCTAGGCTTTCCTTAACCTAATAGATTTGAATAACAGGCAGGGGGGAACATTACATAATCGCTTGCAGTTTGTTCAACTATGTATTTAATTGTGCATCCTGTATCAAATAAAGCAGAAAATGAATTAGCGTTTCTCCAACAGTATGGCCTCATGCCTCTTGCCAGTTTTTACCTGCTTTTTACAGAGCTGAAATCAACCTCTTAGTTCTATGGACTGAAGGAGTGGCTGCAGACTGTGCAGTTATTGGCAGGCGATGTTCTCTCTTCTTGCTTTTGCTTTTCTGTGAGAAAAAGCAACTGTAATTGTGAGTGTGATAGATTTCTCAGTGCCTTTTCTAAGCACATTTCAGGAAAATGAAGAGTAACGTAGCCAGTTGGGTAAATATCCACATTCAAAAAAAAAAAAAATGAAGAATCAGTTGCAGCAGAAGGAGCAAAAGGTGAGCCCATGGGATACAGGTTTCCTCTCGGAAGACTATGTAGGCCCAAAGCAAATGCATTTTTCCTGCACCTAACACGCTGCATGTAATCCAGTGTGACGTGTTTCCCTTAGCTGCTGTTGCTAAAAATGGAAGCATTTTCTTCCCTATCCAGATAACAAGTTACAATATTTCTAAGCAAAACGGTATTCTGTTTTATTTTGTTTCATTTTGTTTTGTTTAAAATGTAATGCATTGATACTCTTTGTACCTATTATTGTGTATTTATGTCTTGATAGGACAATAATTGGTACTAACTTATGATTCGTAGCAGGGTATTTCAGGCTCAAGTGGCTGGCACGAAAGTCACGTTTTCTCGACTTGATATGCTTGATGTGATAGTTGGTCAATTGGATTATCTTCCAAAGCACCTAAACCATATCATTAATAGAGTTGCCAAATAACAACTCTATTGAACATTACAGTAATGTTCATTGTGGGACACGGCTACTGTATATGCACTGTATATGGCAGAGGGTGAGTTCACAAATTTGCTCTTAACCCACTGGGCTCACTGTATTTTGGCTTTTTTTCCATTGCTAAAGCATGGTTAACAACAGAATAACAGCATTGGGATCTTGGAGGTTTTCTAGTCCAATCAGTTGCACAAGCAGGAGACCCTATACCAGGGCTGTCAAACTTGCGGGCCATGGGCCAGATGTGTCACGTGCTAGCCATGCCTACGCCCGGTTTAGTGAAAGGGGAAAAAGTCACGATACGTCACATGACAACGCTGTGACAATGCGAGTTTGATACCCCTGGCCTATACCATTCCAGACAAGTGGCTGGAATGGTATACAGTTCCATGGAATGGAATGGTAATGGAATGGTATAGAGACCCTATACCATTCCAGACAAGTGGCTTAGTTTAGGACATTGCATTTCCTTCTACATCTGCTGATTTCAAGGGCTCCTGCAATGCATTCAGACAAACAAGGAGATGAAATTTTAGCTATTCGGCCTTTCTAGAGGAAACTGATGGGAGAGGTTGCAGCTGTGGTATACCTCCTCCTATTACAAGTTCAGCAGGGTCTCAGTCGGTTGATATGTATATATAAAATCTAGATGTTCCGAATATATCTATCAAAATTACTTAGTGGAGTGGAGCCATGAGCACCCACAACACTTGCGCGAGTGGGTCCTTTGGTTCCTGAGATGCTTACGCAAGTGGGGCTGTGCACACACAGGTGCGCTCCAGCTACCCACTCACGCAGCCCACTTGCAAATAGGCCGTGGACCAGTAGTGGGCTGTGGCCCACAGGTTGGGGACCCCTGCTCTAGGAGATGAGGTGCTTGCATTCCCATACTTAATTTTCCATTCCAAAATTCAGTCTCAACCCACTAACCAGTTTCAGTTGGGTTGATAGTTTGGGGCCTCCAGATTGAAAAATATTGCCCGTCTCTGTTGCAGGTAAAAACACAATTTTCATATATTCCAAAGTACTACAGTTTTCTGTTTAGATAAAAAGTACATACACACACACACTGTATTTTTAGCAAATTTATAATTGGATAGGTGAAGGTTTCTCTGTCCAGTCGTGTCCAACTCTAGGGGGCGATACACATCTCCATTTCTTAGCCAAGGGAGCCAGCATTGTCCGAAGTCATTTCTGTGGTCATATGTCCAGTATGACTATGTGCTGAGGCGCAGAGTGCTGTTACTTTCCCACTGAAATGGTACCTATTTATCTACTCGCATTTGCATGCTTTCGAACTGCTAGGTTGGCAGAAGATGGGACAAGGACAGGAGCTCACCCCATCATGCAGCACTCGAGTCCCAAATGCAGACAATCGGCTTTCCAGCTGACAAGCTCAGTGTCTTTAACCACTGAGCCATCCCGCCCCCCATAATTGGATAATTGAGCTTTAAAAAATCTTCTTTTGAATTACAGAATAGAAGATTAGAACAGCATCCCATTCCTATGCTGCTATGGAAATTTTAGTCAAGCACATCTGGATATCCCCTATATTGAAGTTTTTGTTGTTAAATATTTCTATAACTGAATATTTGACCAACTCCAATGGGTGTGTGTCTGTTCCAAAAGAATGTTGCAATCTCTGTCATTGAATTATGTCTGTAAAAGATCACAGACCCTGCTCCGTTTCTGCTAGCAGAGGCACTGCGGGCCAGTCCTTCGCTGTTTCCAGGGCAGCCCCACGGGCCAGATCTAAGCATCCCGCGGGCCGCATCCAGCCCGTGGGCCTTCAGTTTGACCCCCTGCTATATACTGACTGGGACACAGATGGGCACACTGTTTTCCAGTCTAAAATCATATCATTTTGTTTCTGTCCTTATTTCTATTTTTTAAGTTACTTTTTTGAAGCTGGTTTTCTGAACAGACCAGATTGCATTAGAAATGCAGACTTAACCTTCCATAGAATAATAAAAAGACAGTTTTAAATAGTTTGCAACTGGCTTTAATTAAATTTTTGAAGTCTTGTACTGCTAGCATAAAAGTTATATAAAAATATATAATTGTTCTTTGCTGCTATGGGAACCTTAATTTTGTACATGTGGAATTTAAGATAAGATCATCACAAATGGTCATGCTGCACTGCACCAGCATCTAGGAGAAAACTTAAAGTTTGTCATGATATTTGGAAAACTTGAAAAGTAGATGGAATTATAATAAGAATTAATACTCTTCAACCTTGCCACGAATACTTTACTTGTTACAACTATCTTGAGAACTTCCTTCCAACATCTATACCAGTGTTTTTCAACCGTGGCAACATTAAGTTATGTGGACTTCAATTTCCAGAATTCTCCAGCTAGCTACTCCAATTTTGGGAACTGAAATCCACATATATTAAAGTTGCCAAGGTTGAGAAACACCTATACAGTAAAACATAAAACTTACAAAAGATGGTCCCACTTACCTGATAACTTCCATTTCTCTGTTTCTTGGAGGAGAACAGGAGCAACGATGATAAATGCAGAATAATAAGACAAGAAGAGTAGAACTGGGTGCATTAACAAGCTCAACAGACCTGTTACTTCTTCAATGTTGGAATTTAAAACATGCTACTTAGGAATGGTGAGAAGTTGTATAGCCATCATTGTGGGAAGAAGGCCGTATTAGACTTGAATGGCAAAAAAAATCAAGAGATATACCCTTTTAATAAAACAGTTAGTTGGAAAAGTTGCTATCAGCATTAGCTATCAGCAGTTGAAAGTCTGATTCTCCATTAACATGTCTATTCCCTTTTAAAACCATCTGAATTGGCTGCCACTGCTACAACATAATTTTAAAATTGCTTTCTGTTCCACATCTCCCTGCATTCATTTTCATGGATGTCCCACACAGACACTTCTCTTTCCATATTATCTATGCAATGCTTTCATACTTAGGTAATCCTTGATTTACAACCACAATTTGGGCCAGAATTTCCATTGTTAAACAAGGCAGTTATTGACTTGCAGCCAATTTATTTTACGATATTTTTTGCAATGATTATTAAGCAACTCACAGCAGTTGTTAAGTGCATCATGTTGTCATTAAGCAAATCCAACTCCTCGCATTAACTTTGCTGTTGGAAGCCAGCTGGGAAGGTTACAAAAGATGATCAGATGAACCCTGGATTCTGCAACTGTCATAAATACATGCCACAGTTGCCAAGCATCAAAATTTTAAGCATGTGATCTTGGGGATGCTTCAGCAGTTGTAAGTGTGATGACTGGTCATCATACATTTTGTGCTGGTACTCAGTGCACAAGCTAGAATTTGTCAGTGTCATCTCCTTGTGACTGACTACATTATTTCTTATGGAAAAAATGTGTTTGATACTCATCATTTTTGGTACTCATTGCATCTCTCAAAACCTATTAATGATGAGTACCAAGGTACCACTGTTTCTTTCTGTGTGTATGTACACACTTGCTAAGACATTGTTATTATTAAATTTTAAACTATTAACAGTCAGAGTGGGATGTAATCATGACTGTGTCACAATGGGCAAATTATTAAAAGAACATCAGAATCACCTACTAATTAGCAGAGACCTATGACTAATTATCACACATGTTGCCAATCACATAGCTAGTTCTACAAGGCAGGATTTTTTAAACATGAATATGTGGTTCAGAGCTGCCTGGGTTGAGGTTATAAATAGATTTTAACCCTTCTTCCATCCACAATTTGGACAGAGCTGCAGTTTCTATCATGAATACCCATTTTCTACACATGGATTTTTTTCTCCCAAAGCCAATTGTTATGAGCTGCCCAGAATTACTTAAGATGGATGGCTACATCCATCTTTTACATACATATATAAATGCATATATAAGGAGGTAATGGGGACTGCAACATTCTTGTTTGGTACAGGAACATCTTTCTATGTTCATAGGAATGCTCAGCTCTCCTACTACAATGAATTTGATCTAATGTACCTAAATCTCTGGCCCATTCAGAATGCTTCAGTGCCAGAGGCAAATACAGTAATATGCGTTGCGTTGAAAACACAAACTTTTTGTTATCTGATCTGGGTGAAGTTACATGGATATTTTTGACCCGGGATCCTTGTGCAGATATGTGCAAGTCCCTGATAACAAAAGAGTGTGATTGGCAGAGCAACAGGAATCTATGATGACACCCTTGAAACTTCTGCACCTTTGCACAGTTTTACTGTAGCTCAGTCACAAGTTGGCTCAAGCATAAGACAATTTCATGGATAGGCAGGTTGTATCATTTGCACAAGTACAAAGAAGCTGGATTAGTATTATTACAGGTAGTTCCTGGATGGCATAGTGTTCTTATTTTCAGGATTACAGGATTTTCTGCTAAGCCTCCTCAACCTTGCTCTCTTAGTGTAGCAGAATCAGAAAAGCTAGTGATTGAATGGCTTATACCAGAGTTCCCCAAACTTTCTGGGTTGGCGGCCCAGAGTGAGGGAGGAGGGGGGAAAGAGGGGATGGTTTTGTGGGAGGCGCAGGTGTGTGTGTGTGTGAGCACTGTTCCTTGCATGAGTGGGGCCAAGAATGGTTGCGACACTCTTGCGAGTGTGGTCTTGAGCACCATGGACACTCGTGTGAGTGGGTCCCCAAGTGCCCACGATACTCATGTGAGTGGGGCCATGAGCCCCCACAACATTTGCACAACGTTCTCATAGCCCCAGCTACCCATTCACATGACCCAGTTGCAAATAGGCCACGGTTCAGTAGTGGGCCGCGGCTCACAGGTTGGGGACCTCTGGCTTATACTGTTTTTGCAGCTTTCATCTTCTTTCATAGAAAGCCAATGTGATTATTTCAGCCTTCAGTAAGTTAATAGTATATTTAAAAACAATTGCCCAATGAGCAATTATTAAACATGTGCCCCAAGGGTAGTTCCAAATTGTAAGGGGAAAGCAGAAACAGAAGTACATACTGGGACATTTCAGCAAATTGCAGAAAGGAAGGAAAGAAATTCTAGGGCTGGACTTGTACAAACCAGCCTGCTAAATTGTATACAGATTCTTTATAGTTGTAGCCCATCCTCTCAAATGGCAATGCATCAAAAGAGTTTAAAATCTTTGAGCATTAACAACTCCCATGTGTCTGGGAGGAAATAGGATATCATTAGCCATATACTAGTGCACTTAGAGTATTACTTTTTAAATATTTATTTTTGGTAACTTTAATTTAAACTTTACTTGATGAAGTTTATTGACCTCTCCTGTTGTTTCTGTAAAAAAGAAAAAAAGAAACTTTTAAAAATTGTCTTTATATGCATGTAGTGCTATGAAACTGTGATCCTTGTGTGACATTCAAAAATTGTATTGTCTTGTAAAATAATGTCTAAAATGTCTACAGATTTTAAAGCAATGGACCCTCCCTTCAGATGACAGAAATAAAAAATATGATTATTAAAATGAACACGGGGTTCATGTCATATTTATTTTCCTATGCACATTTATTTCTAAGGTAAAGGTAAAGGTTCCCCTCACACATATGTGCTAGTTGTTCTCAACTCTAGCGGCTGGTGCTTATCTCTGTTTCAAAGCCAAAGAGCCAGTGCTGTCCAAAGACGTCTCCATGGTCATGTGGCCTGCATGACTAAACACCAAAGGCTCACTGAACGCTGTTACCTTCCCACCAAAGGTGGTCCCTATTTCTCTACTTGCATTTTTTATTGCATTGCATATTTTTCGAACTGCTAGGTTGTCAGAAGCTGGGACGAGTAACGGGAGCTTACCCCCATTACATGGCACTAGGGATTTGAACTGCTGAACTGCCGACCTTTCGATCAACAAGCACAGCATCTTAGCCACTGAGCCACCACGTCCCTATTTATTTCTACATACGTTTAATTACTGTATCCCAAAGATAACTTGCCCTGGTCCAGTGGCTCAAAACAACAGCTACAAAAAGAATGCTTTTGAATGCCAAACATTAAAAACCATAAACAAATATATAAATATGAATGTAGGCTATCATTTAAACAAATTTATATCCCTTAGTTTTTTCTACTCTTTCCCAAAGGAATTCAGAATTTTATTTCCATCACATCATTAGATAAGCACAGTGATAGTTTGAATAGAAATGTAATCTTCTTAAACAGTTCACTGAGCAGTTTTTCCAATGTAGGAAAAATATAACTCACCCTTATGTTCAAAGTATGCATAAGTGTGAAGGGCAACAAGAATAGAGGGCTGCCTGTCCCTGTAGCCCTTGGGATTCTTCAGAGGCACACAATTGGCAAGTGTGAGGAATAAGAGACTACATAACCTAAGAAGATACACAGTTCAATGTGAATTTGATATGTAGGCATTGTCCACACAATAGCTATGGGTCAGTGGTGGGTTGCCCCTGGTTCGGACCGGTTCACAAGAACCGGTAGTAAAACCGATGGAAGGCCCCGCCCACTGCCCCAGATGTCGTCATTGGCGATCCGCGCATGTGCAGAAGCTTCTTCTGCGATCCCGTTGCAAACTGGTAGTAAAGGTAAGTAGAACCCACCCCTGCTATGGGTTTATATGAGGAGATGCTTGTGGTCTATCCAATAGTGCTAGAACATTCTTCTGGTTATATTAAACCCAATACCAACAAAGCAGTGGTGGAAATCCAATTTTTTTACTACCAGTTCTATGGGCTTGGCTTGGTTGGCATGGTGTGGCTTGGTGGGCCTGGCAGGGGAAGGATACTGCAAAATCTCCATTCCCACCCCACTCTGGGGCCAGCCAGAGGTGGTATTTGCCGGTTCTCCAAACTACAAAAAAATTCCGCTACTGGTTCTCCAGAACCTGTCAAAACCTGCTGAATAGCACCCCTGCAACAAAGCATTTAAGAGATTTTAATAATACTATATAATGACATTTACCATTTGCCATTATTAAGATATAATTTCAATTTAGCAACTAAACAATTTTGGTCACCATACTACAAAAAAGATGTTGAGAGTTTGGGAAAAGTTTAGAGAAGAGCATCTAAGATGATCAACGGCCTGGAAACTAAAACATATGAAGAATGGCTGCAGGATTTGGGTTTGGCTAGAGAAAAGAAGAATTAGGGGTGACATGATAGCAGTATTCCAATATTTGAAGGGCTGCCACAAAGAAGAAGGGGGTCAAATTATTCTCCAAAGCACCAAAGGGCTGGGCAAGAAACAATTGTTGGAAACTAATCAGAGAGAAGCAACCTGGAATTAAGGAGAAATTTCCTAACATTGGGGACAATTAACTAGTGGAACAGCTTGCCTTCAGAAATTGTGGGTGCTCCATTACTGGATGGTTTTAAGAAGAGACTAGACCCGTGATGGCGAACCTATGGCACGCGTGCCACAGGTGGCACACGGAGCCATATTAGTGGGCACGCCAGCTCAGCTCTAGGGCGCATGTGCGCGCCGGCCAGCTGATTTTCGGGCCTTCTGGGCCCACCAGAAGTAGGGAAACAGGCTGTTTCCTGCCTCTGGAGGGCCTGGGGGGGGGACCCCAGCCTCCAGAGACTCCTAGAGAGGCTCCTACAGACTCCTAGAGAGGCTCCTAGAGACTCCTAGAGAGGTTCTGGAGGCTGGGGACAGCAAAAAATGTCACTTCCTGTCCCACCGGGAATTGGGAAATGGGCCCTTTCAGCCTCCGTAGGGCCTCCAAGGGAGTGGGAAAGGCTGTTTTCGCCGATCCCAGATACACAGAGAGGATTTGGAACCAGGTAAGAAAGAAAAACGGGCCTACCAGGCCATCATGTGCCAGGAGCGGGGGGGAGAGGGGAGAGGGGGTTGCACACACATGCGCGTGGGCATGTGCGTGCGCGACCCTCCCCCGCCCCCCCTCTCCTGGTACGCAATGGCAAAAAGGTTAGCCATCACTGGACTAGACAGTCACTTATCTGAAATAGTACAGGTTCTCCTGCCTGAGCAAGGGGCTGAACTAGAAAATCTCAAAGATCCCTTTCAGCTCATTGTATTCTATTCTACTTTCTCGGGCTGTTGGATTAAATAATGAAACAACAAGAAAAACCATGTTCATCAATTTCTCAATGAGTGTTGATAGAGTGAGGTAAACAATACAGGTAGTAGTCCTCAACTTGCCACCACAATTGTGCCCAAAATTTCTGTTGTTAAGTGAGACATTTGCTAAGTGAGTTTTGCCCTTTCTTGCCACAGTTGTTAAGTGAATCACTGGAGTTGACAAATTAGTAACACGGTTGTTAAGTGAATCTGGCTTTCTCATTGACTTTGCTTATGAGAAGGTCACAAAAGGGGATCAAGTGACCCTGGGACACAGTAATGGACATAAATACGAACCAGTTGCCAAGCATCTGGATTTTGATCACATGACCCTGGGGATGATGCAAAGATCATAACTTTATGAAAAACTGTCACTTTTTTTCAGTGCTGTTGTAACTTTGAATGGTCACTAAATGTGTAAGTTGTAAATTGAGAACTACTTCTATGTGAGATTACAATAGGTAAAGCTCCTTAGTCCGGTTGATGGAGCAGAATTGAGCAGTTCATGGCATTCCAGAAGGATACAAGATCAGTGCTGAGGATGTTAGGACTTGGAATTCTTCAACATCTGGATTGGCGTAAGTAAAACTATATCCGTAACAGACCTTTCTTCATTTCGTTTCTCTGGAAGTGTTCGGACGTCCTTGTCAAATAGCTTTCTTTTCTCTGCAGACGAAAGAATGGCATATCCACACAAAAGAACAATTCTCATAATATTTACAAAGCAGCCATTGCACTTCTAAATTAAAATTGTATGCTTGTATAACTTTTACGAGCTTTCATCCACTTCATCAAAAATGAACGAAAGGAGCTTTATTCACCTTGTATTATTTGTAATCTGAATAATGTAAGATCCTATACTGTATCTCTGAAACTGCTTAAGAAAATATTTCAGTATATGAAGTGAGCACAAAATATTAACATGTTCTCACCAAGTGGCAAACCAGTTCTGATCATATTTTAAGATGCACAAAGCAATTGAATTTGCAAAACATTTTATAGCATTTGGAATAAACATACAGACGTTAAAAGGGAACCCAGAGGAAAAGTTCTATTAACCTGATAAATATCTGTGTGCCATATTTGTCTCATATGTTCACCAACCTGTTCCTCATCTCACGTGTTCACCAACCTGCTTCCTAAGGCAATGTGACTAATCATGGTTCTCATCCTGAGAACATTTCATTCATAAAAGGTGACTTGCTTTGTAATGACTAGCATGAAACAGAAATAGGACTTGGCTTGCAAGCTATTAATGTGGTAACCTTAAAAGCCCTTTTAATGTTTATTTGTTGGATTTATATCCTTTTTTTTTTCAAAATCTCATGGAGGCATATGTAGCTATTCTTCCTCCAGTTTTCCACACGAGATTCCTGTTGACTTGAGAAGAAGTGATTGGCCTAAAGGCATAGCATTGTAGCTCTAGATCCCTTTTAGACTATCATGATGTTTTTTAAAAAAAAGTGTTATTGCATTATAAGAATTGAAACTCTATAATAGATTTTTAAGGGACAAGATCTGGTCATTGGCATTAATCATTCTGTTAAAATGGTACAAGTATAAAAATGTACTGCCTTTTATTTAAATGATTACTCTGTATAATCGTATAATACAATATGCAATTCTGTTTTTTTCCAGATTTTTGAATAGATAGATGATAGATGAGATAGATAGACAAATAGACAGATAAGAGAGTCAGAGAAAGAAACAGAGAGAGGGGGGGGGAGATTTAAAAATTTCAAAAAGATAAATTTGAATGTGATGTCATTGTCCCCACCATGTGAATTTAAGTTTGTTGCTGAAATTAATCCTAGAGATTCTCAATCACTGATACTGCCCAATAAATATCTGCATATGAGACATTTATATGTGTGCATATATGCTAGCCAGAATCCATGGAAGCAACGAGAAAACTTTAATCTGCTAACACAGAGATAGAAAACCTGTTGCTGGAATTGGATTATAATTGCCATGGATTATAATTCACTCACTTTATATTAGCCATGCTGGTTGAAATTACTGGGAGTTAGTTTGCAGCTTTTTTATGTGCTACATTACCAAGCCATACAATAGCAGTTAATAAAAAGTGTGTTTCAGTTGCATTTTCCTGCCTCTGCTATCATCTCTTAGTAATTAGTAAGCTTCTGTTGCTGCCTTTTGAGAAATGAATAGTCAGCTTCCTAGCCTTTTCCTGAAGTTGTTTTCTCACTTTAATGATGTTTCTCTGACTTCATCCAGTAATCAGGATGCAAATTTCAGCTTTCTAATGAATGAAAAGTCAATTTACTCCATAACAATCATTTAGTTGTGGAGAAGTAATTTTAGTCTTTCTTAGACAGGCATCTCCTTGGAAAACCAAGCTACTTTTACAGGAAAGATTCCTGATAATAAGGATGCCCATTGATCCACATAGTTCAATCCTGTCTGCAGT